TGTTTCTTGCATTTCAACATGAAGGATTGCAAGTAATTTATTTTTTGCATGAAATACCTACGGAATTAAAATTTTACTCCATCTAGTAGGCGATTATTCTTTATTATAAATTCTTGCAAAGTTGAAATGAAATTCGGAGGTTACTTCATTCAGTGGAATTCTTTGTTGGTTTTTCAAATCAAAAAAAAATGTTTGAAATATTCCGATTTTAAGCAACAGAAAATATGTAGATTTCATAAAGAATACATATATTGGCCTAAGATAAATGTTCTGCATTACACCCCTCCCAAAAAAGCCGATCCCACTGAAGACAAACAATTATTTCTAAGATGAATACTCCGTAACTCTCAGCAATATTTGACATATATCACTAGACGTTCTAAAATATGGCTCTTACTAACTTTGATCATGTTCCCTTTTAAGTGGTCACGTACTATAATTTACAGGTACCCTATAGGATTTTGCTGGATTTTCTCCCGAAGAAGCAAGATTATAACACAAGTTTCCCAAAGCGACACGTACCAATAGGATCATAGTTATTGTGTATGCAAGACTAGTACGTTTATAAATCATGGGGTTACGTTGACAAGGGAAATGCTACGTGAATTTTCATCGGAGACATGCAGCCTATCCTAAAGTTTGCTGCATAAGATCTTCGTACCTTACTTCACGCGTAATTCGGTTTCCCATTCTGCAGAGAAAGTGGTATGAATTTTCTTCGTAATAATATTTCTTTATTCTTCATTTACAACTAATGATATTTTATTGCAGAAATTATTAGCTCCAGAAATTATTAGGCGCTATACTTTACATAATACAACTGTTTTGCCATAGAAACAGAGATTCACTTATTGTGCAATCAGAATATGGAGTTGTGGAATATGGAGTCGAAATAATAATCACGGGATTTTTGCATTAAATAACGTATTATTTTATTCATATTTTGAGAAATCATATATTTTTAAATTTCTTTACTCGTCCCATAGTCCTTCAGGAGTTCCCCTATTTCATGAATACAAATAGTTTATCACACTTTGGTGAACATTTTAACCTTTTTAATTTTTGTGTATCGTAGAAAAAGCTGCGTATTTATTATCAGTTCTTTTAGGGTCTAATTTTATGCAAAAATAAACGTAAACAACTGTACTATGTGATGTGATCACTGACGGTGTAAGAGAATACCGAGTGAAAGAGGTATTGGCTTCTTTGGATGTTTTGATCTTTCTCTACAGCTTTCGACATGATTGTTCAACCCCAATTAACACTAGCTTTCTGTATAAATAACCAAAGAATATATCTAGCCTTTCGATTATCGAATCCAGCAATTGGTCTTAAATTATTAATTATAATGAATTTCCATTTGCCTCACTTCTGAAATAAATTAGAGCCATGTTCATGAACAGTTTTATTCAGACACAGTAAGTTGATTTTTGCGATTGACACTGACTCGACTCTACGTTCCTTCAGTTGCTCTGGACAATTTACAGTACAATTTACAGTATTCTGTGTTGTGGTTAACTCATGGATGATCGGCGTGACATATTATTTCCCCAGCGTTCCTCTACTATACAAAACATCTCTCAACAGCTACACGAGAGTACCCACTACAAACTGTTTCAGATAAACTGTATTACGAGGCCATGTTATTACCATCTGATCTCAGTCAAACTCGAATGGAACGGCCGCTATTTTCATTTTGACGCTGTAGAATTTTGTAACACTGACTCTGTGATGCTGTACCATATAAACCTTTCTGCCAGCATATTTCCATAATACAGGCACGAAAACAGTTCTCGGCACAACGTTATGATAATGCCATGGCTGATCAGTGTATCGTCTATTAACATGATGATACTGAATCAGCGTATCGACCTCATTCTCGGTTCCCAGAGGAAATTCTGCGATGGGTGTGTCCGGACCTTACCTTTCGAAACGCTTTCAAACTCATCAGATCAAAGCACTTAACTTGTCCCGCTTCGGTGACAGTGTTAAGACGCCCCCTCCAAAGGCATCCAACTTCACTCGGGTCGCCAGCGACGGCCCTGAGGCTGGTTGCATCCGAACCTTCCCGCCCGGCCTCCTTAGGGCCTCCTCAGGGCCTCCGCGTGGCGTCCGCATCAGTATGCAGACAGCGGTCAAGACTTAGGGCGCTTCCGCCCTCATTTACAAGGGAAAGCGTCGGATTACAACGCGGCGTCGCCAGCTCTGGCCACGCCCCCGCCGCCACCCCCTCCCGTCCCGCCTAGGTCGCCAGCTGGCTGCGTTGAGACGCAAGGGGAAATGAAACGGCGCTGCGCCCAACAGCTTCTGTCGCCTTTTCTAGCCTTTGGAATGATGTCATTTTGCGTATTCGTGTCATAGAATACTCTAATAGAAACTTGAAAGTAGAGAAGGATATGTTGTAATCTTTTAGTCCGTTTTCCGGCTCGATTCCAGGCCAATGTGCGTTTAATTTGCGATGGGTAAAATGAATTTTTGACAGTTTTTTCTCGGGGATTTTCCATTTCCCTGCCTCTTATTGCACCTTTCTTCGTCTTCTTTCCCATCAACAATGTCGCTATCAGCTACGTATTGAATCATTACTCATGGGTTTGCAGTTGAAAGGCCCCTAAATCACAATAATAAAACGAGACTTTCTTTCTTTTTTTCTTTCTTCTTCTTCTTTGAATCCTTCTCGTTCCTATCCACTTTTTTCTCGATCTTATGTTTCTTCTTGTTATTCCTTTTCTGCTTCATCTTTCTGACTCAAGACTATTTTACATTTTCTTGAAGTTGGTGTAGCCGACCTGGATGGCCGAGGTCGCTAACAGCGTGTAACAACTCGTCGCTTCGGTCCGTTGGGTTGCGGGTACAAATCCCGTCTTCGGCATGGTTGTTTGTTCCTTATCTCTCATGTATGTGCTGTCGCGGAGGGCCTCGCGTTCTGCTGACCCAAGATCAGAGGAGCCTACAAGTGTATGGGGTCTGGTGTACAGTCGAATACATCGTTGCGTCCCGTCAGGACGTAAAGGGTAGCCGGCTCTTGGCTGGATACGAGCTTAGAAAATAATGAAGTTGGTGTCATATCGGAATCAGCCTTAAGAATAGGAGTAGGATAATGAGCTAAGAAAGTATAATGAGCAAAGAAGACATTGCGCGGCTCTCGATTTATTGTTAAAGGTTTTTCTTTGACATCCGCCTGGAATTGGTTGAAAAAATACGTAATCACTCTTCAGAGCATCGTGTGGAAATACTCATCTGTGCAGCGCCATCGTCCAAACTATCTACTTACCAGTTATCATTGCTAATTAGGTAACTTATAGATATTCTTTGATTATGACAAATAATACGTTATAAATTATTGACATTGTCTAACCATCTATTGAAACTATGATAGATATCTAGGTTTTCGACGAATTTTATTAAATTATGTACCAAAAATCTGTTTTCATTGCATGTATTCAATTTCGTATAACTACGTGGCAAACAGTCATCAGATAAAAATATGATTGTTACTTTCACTACATCTGGTACACCAATTCTATTAAAACATAAGTTTCAACTACTTACAGTACAATGTAGTACAATTTTAAACAATTTGTTTTGTTTTGAGCTGTATTTGCTGTTTAATCTAGAGCTATTCGTAGTCGCTTCAACGCTTCTTGTAGAGTTAGAAAATTAGTATAAGCATGTGGAAGCAGTGGTATCATAACTTATTAGGTAAACGATGTAATGTTATTATATAATTAATATGTTTTTAAGATAACTTGTCTTTTCACAGTAGTCGTTCCCCGCCAACAAAGTTACAAAATTGATATTTTTTCTTTTAGTATTCTCTGCACGTGTTGCTGTTCTGTCAGTCTAGAATGTCTCCATGATACAGGGAGAATCATATAATATTGCGCATATTAATGTTCAGTGAACAATGCCAATAACTATTGATAAGTATGACATGGCAATGATTTTCATGAACCTTCAGCGATAGAGAATTTTAAATGAAGATAAAGAGGGTATTCTATTATTCCGTATTTTAGCAAGTTAGCATTGACGTGAAATTTTTGTGATATTGATATTTTGTACAAGTACCTGGAAATATCTGTAATGCATTATAGAAACCAATGAACTATTTCTCTTGCACGTTTGTTGTGCATCGAGAATATTATGATGACCTCAATTCCTCGTTTTAGTTCTTTTGACAGGTTTGATTTCAAGCAATTTACTAAAACGTTCGTCCACCATACCGCGGGTACGATATCTCAAAATCTTTGTTATCGTGATGTAAATTTAATCACCTCCTTAATAACAATTATTTTAAAGAAAAAGAGATTAGATGTGTCTAAAAGTTTTAATATACAATTTTGAAGAGTTGTTTTATCTCTGAAATTTCAACAAACCTAACTAGTGACAAATAATAATTTTGTTGAACGTTACTTACCGTATTCAAAAATTCCTGAAGAGGGAATTTTTCCATACATTAAACAACTAACGTTTTGGTAGACAAAAATCGCCCATCGAATCGTTCCTAAAAAAATGTTTCTAAAATTATTCCCTTCAATGTCTTTAACGTTTCTGATCTAATTTGAAGCATCGTAAAATTTCAAGGCAGCAAGCACTTAATAAATATTGTTTCAGTGAGATGTGTTATGAAAATTTCAGCGTTGTGTATAATATTTTCTCACCTTTGTGTCTTGAAAAATATTTCAAAGCATTAAAACGCCATCTAATATTTTTATGATGGAAATTCAGCCCCAGAATGTAATATATGAGTAACATGTACATTTACAATACCCTCTAAATCTTTATTTAAAAAAACCTCTCGTGTGTTAGACCATTCTTCTCTCTGCTTCATTACAATTCGCCCACTGCGTTACACTATCTTTTATTCCGTGTACCACTGCCTCTGCTTGCAACGTTCGCCTCGCAGCTGTTACTTTCTTTTTTTTTCTTCCGCGGCGCTGGCGAGCCGCGTCGATGTTTCCGCTGACGTGCTTGCTGACGTCCTTGCCGACGCGTGTTCGCAGGCCCGCAACAAACCCGCAGACGGCGGCGGCCACGTCAACCAGAAGGGGCAGGCGGGCCAGAAGACGCCCGTCACCGCGCAGAAGAATGCGCAGGCCAAGAGCGCGCAGAAGCCCGCGCAGAAGCCCCCCACCGCGCAGAAGGGGCAGGTGAAGACGCAGCCCAAGGCGGCGCCGCCCGCCAAGGGCGCCAAGAAGAACAAGAAGGGGCAGCGCCACCAGCAGCACGACCTCATCGTCACCATCGACCTCGTGAGTACCACAGCACGCGCGCACGTTTTCTTCAGCCCCCCCCCCCCCCACTCCTTTACTAACAGAGTAAATGATAGACTCACGTTGTGTTGGAGTGTGTGCTCCCGTCTAATAGAAAATATTTTGCATAAAAAAAACAAGCTACAGATTTCATAAAATGTACCTGTCAATAAAATAATCAAACCCCCACTCTCCTCGCATCTAGCGAAATGAGGGCTCAAGAAAACGTGCGGGATAATATACTCAACTGTACTCCTATTTATTATTTTATTTAATTGGTAATTATTACACGCAAATTAGCTTACGTGATCCTATGTGGCTAGACCGAAGGCTTATAAGCCATTACAATAAGCCATTACCTACTAGTGTTGTATGAAAGGAGAGACGCAATCCCCTAGACAAGGATGGAACACATATACCTGGTTGAGGCACCGCTGATCATTCAGCAACTTGACCACATTTTTAAGCAGCGGCGATGGTGTAACGGTAAACGTACTCCTATTTATACATAGTGGCGCTTCAAGGCCACGAGCTGGACAAAAAGGGGGAAATGGTCATCCAATCGGGAGCTTCGTGACGATTTAAAGTTTTGGTATTGGAGCTTCCCATTAGATAACAATGTGTCCCTATCCTTCCAGCTCGTGACCTTGAGGCATCAATTAAATTCAAAGAATAGATTGGCAGTGCTGCCCCTACTAAATAATATAGAGACAATACAGGATTATATCCCATTATGGACGGTGTCCTTCCCATTATCCTCTGTGATATTATATCCCATTATATAGAGTGTACCTCCCATTATGGGAGGCTTTGAAGTTAGCGCCCCCAAGTGGCCCGACCTGTCGAAACCATTTTGATATCAATAACGAAGTGTTTAAGGTTTTAAGATGTTTAGTTTACTTACGAAATCATTTACTCGCATTTTGCAGTGTGATTAAAATATTTTCGTTATAAGAGGTTATAAATCTGCAGTGCTTAAGAATACAGAGAAATATTTCGAGTACCATCAGCTAAAAGACTAGAAATATTTAAAATTGAACCCATATATCAGACAGTAGTTCACATTGTTACGATTATTATTCGTAACTGTAAAAGAAGCATGAGAATACAACTCAACCTTGCACTTGTGTAAAAAGCTTTAGAACGCAGTGATAATGTGATGGCGATAAGAACGCGCAATTTCTTGGCTTCCCTGCTGTCCCAGTGCCCAGTATACGCTTTGGAAATCTACCTACTAGAATATATCTCTGTCCTACCACCCTGCGTTTACAGAGGTCGCCTTTAAGTTGCTTGGAACGTTTTTTCCTTTGTTTAGTATTTTTTCTTTGTTATCCAATGAATACCTGGTACTCCAACAAACATAGCTGTCAAATATCTAGGACATGTATTAGATACCTAAGCGATGTGATGGCTACATATAAAATCCATTACAAAAGTACTTAAGCACATAGTTCTAAATTTATCCTCTATTTTGTAATAATTCCGGAAAATCTATTGTAGATAAATTGCATTTAAAATAATTAATTGGCTCTCATTAGCAAAGGCACATCGAATCTGCTTTAATACATCCTCAAGTTATTTATACATTCTCTAAATAATTCAAAATAAATTTCTGCCAAGAATGCTAAAACCTCCTAATAAGCAATAATCCTTATAATCAAATGTAACTGCATTCAATGTTCATGTCAACATGCCCTCATGATGTGGCTTCTATAGTATTCACACTGAGCATTTCAAAGTGAATCTTGATTTTTCATTTCTATTTCTCCAAAGGATATTATCTTGCTTTCCCAAGAATGAACTGAAACCTCCAGAATTTTGTTTTTTCTTAGCCAAATTAACATTTAATAGTAATACACCTTATTTTATAAACTTCTCCGTTTCAAACCAATAAAAATCCTTATTTTTAAAATTCTTATATAGTTTATAATTATAATAAATCCAATGTTATTTACAGTGTACTAAGAATGTGTGCTTCTAAAATGTTCCATTTATTAGGGGGTCTGAAAGGTATTGTATTTCGAACACAAATAAAGCTTGCTATTTTTAAGGGAGGAAACCGTACCACTTACTTGCAAGAAATTACCTATTATAGAATTGGGTTTCTGATAAATCGATGTGAAGGATAAGTGTTGATTTTACGGAGGAAATGTGCCCTGAATTTCTTTTTTAAAGCGTCATGTCTTACGTTTCATGCTGTTTACAGGCAGATTCCCTTTTACTGAATAACCACGTGGTACAAATTACTTTTAACAATGCACAATAGTTTAGAACCATTCACAATGTATTCTAATGAAACAAAATATTCCAACAAATTAATATGTATGAATTTGTTAATGTAAAAAAGTGAAACTCATTTCAAATGTACTTCACAGGATTGAAATTTCGGACCCCTCTACATTCCATTAAAATGTGCTTTGAAACATATTCGGGACCGTCAATTTGTTTTAGTTCTAATTTAATTAACTTAAAAATGTGATTTAAATTCCGTTTATACTACAGTAGTTTGGCGATGGTATTCGATGAATTTTTGTTTTATTATGCCAACTTACCATATTGATACTTTTATATATTGCTGAATAAACACCTCAAGCACCATCTATTTGGAAATTATGATTGATACACGAGTGAAATGCATATTTTCAATAGAACAAGATCTTATTTTTCTGTAATATATTTGTATGAAATTAAAATTTTGTAATCAGAAAAATTGTATTGTGGATAATGTAAATAGTTTTCCAATGTCAATAGTTCTGCATCACGTTTTCACCATGATTGAGGAAATCCCTCTCGATATGTGCTTTGGTTTTCTAAAAGATTCGAAAACTTTGCAATTGATACCTTTATTTTATTCTTTCTAATCAATACAGCTGCGAGCATGCTTCCTGTATTGAGCCCTTTTTATATTTTAACTTATTTTGCATTGTGCAAATTTCTTTGTGCACTTTCAAAACATATTTTAATATTCAGAAAATTCAGGACAGTCAATACTCAACAATTTGGCTAAAAAATTAATATATCATTGGTTTGCTGTTTTAAATTCAATTATTTAATTTTAAGTAGCTAAGTTTTCTTCATATCTGAAATATAATCATCAAATAGAAACTGAAATGTAAAATATGTTAACACAAGCTCTAGGAATTTGCCATCCGTTTGTAACATTTTCTTTCATTATTCTTATTTGTGGAGTGCATTTAGACCATCAATTGAAGGGTCCTAAATAGCATTTTCATTTGAATATGTCCCCAAACGAAAATTTCTCCTGAATGTGGAACGTTCAGCTTCATAAATCCATTTGACATTAATGCATGAAAAACTGCGGTTGTAAGCGAAAATCGTACTGAGGGCTTTTATTATCATTATGTATGACAGACCCAGATCGAAGCATTATCTGTTTATTTTCAGTGATGCTGTTCCCTGGATATTAGTCTTGATTTGTATGACACGAACTCGTACTCTCCATTATGGTTATGAAAGTTAACTCATATTACCACGTGGTATTGGGGGTAGATTTACATGAAGGGTTGGAACATGTCTATTTGCATATTTTTTCATTAACCGTTCAGTGTGGTCAGATAATATATGTTGTTGAACTTTTTCGCAAAAACGATTCCCATTAACGTACGTTCAAAGGAAATATTAGAATTTTATTTAGAGGATTAAAGTGGCTTGATATATTTTCTACCAATGATTACAAACAACTACCATATCACTCCATTGTGAATGAAATTTTCAATCATCTCTATTGTGAATAAAGCGTGTAATCTTTTGAAAGCGGGTCACAAATTATCGAGGGACTATCAAATTTGTACCATGGAAGAGGTTATCATTTGAGTCAACCATATTCGGATTTTAAAGCTTGGTTAGTTCTCTCTTGATAAACTTTTTGTACGAAATCCTTCATACTTTGGTCTTGTTATATAAACTACTATTAATACTTAATTCTCGGGCAAATATGTTTATTGCTCATTGTAAACTCACTCTTACACAAAGGCTTACGCTGCTTTGTTGCTTTCATTTCCTCAAGTATCACAATTTTTGTCGGGTAATGACTGCGGAACGGAAGTACTGCAGAGTAAAAAGGGAAAACTTCTAAATTACTTTGCATAAGACGGCGTTCTGGGCTTGTAGCACTGCAGTGTTCGAGGCAGCGCATGCAACGGTCTTTGGTTCTTGTTTCGGTGCCTTCTTTTCAACACGTGAAAGACGGCGTTCTTTCCAGTGGTTGTGATGCCAAATCAGTTTGTTCTATTAGTCACTCGAGACCTCGCAGAGATCTGTAATACTGTTGATGACAATTTTGCATTACTTAAACAATAATGGTACAAAAATGTCGATGTTGCAGAAGATTAAAGAAGCAGACGCAATAATTTGCAGATTCTTACATTGTTAAAATTTAAAGATAAGGTTGAAATAAGTGGAAATGAAAAATAAATAGAATAAAATGATTAATATAGAAATAACAGTATTAATTAATAAATTCACTCTAAAACTATTACTCCATTATATATTCCTTCCTTCTATAGAAAATAATTTAGCAGAAACTATTAACTGGCAATTCTACTGCAAACATACGTGCCGTTCTAACCCTGATATTCCCTATAGGAACATTGTTAAACTCACTTCGAATCTAGTGATCTCTTTCTTATGGTTAGATTCTTAAATTGACACACCTGCATTGAAACTATTCATTTTAAATGTCAACGATGCAATAATACTGCTTTTGATTGAATTGAATTTGCCTTATTAATATTCATCTTCCGATAAAATTAAGCAACCAATTTCGTTTGCAAAGTATTTTTCTGAAAATGCATTGAAGAGAAAGTTCATTGTAGACAACGGGTAAAACCAGTCATTCAATGAGCGCGTATTCCTCTAGTATCTCATATTATTTTACA